ATCAACACAAATAAAAATAACAAACCAAAATAATAAATAATAATCCAGTGAGGGAACTGTAAAGAAGATGAGGCAGGTTGGGTTTTGTTTAGGTTTTTTTTCAATTTTGCCGGTCCTACTTCCTGTTGTCCTACTTCCCGTTTTCCTACTTCCTGTTTTCCTACTTCCTGTTTTTCCTACTTCCTGTTTTCCTACTTCCTGTTTTCCTACTTCATGTTTTCCTCCTTTGACTTTGCTTAAACAAAGATGAGGAAATCAACACAAATAAAAATAACAAACCAAAATAATAAATAATAATCCAGTGAGGGAACTGTAAAGAAGATGAGGCAGGTTGGGTTTTGTTTAGGTTTTTTTTCAATTTTGCCGGTCCTACTTCCTGTTGTCCTACTTCCCGTTTTCCTACTTCATGTTTTCCTCCTTTGACTTTGCTTAAACAAAGATGAGAGGAAATCAACAAAAAAATAACAAACCAAAATAATAAATAATCCAGTGAGGGAACCGTAAAGAAGATGAGGCAGGTTGGGTTTTGTTTAGGTTTTATTAGCCTAATGAGAACTACAGTTTACACCAATGTTATGTTCACAGACACTTCGAAATGAATCAGCTCAATTTTGCCGGTCCTACTTCCTGTTTTCCTACTTCCTGTTTTCCTACTTCCTGTTTTCCTCCTTTGACTTTGCTTGCATGCGGACCCTCTAACCCAGTGCTTCTCAATTATTTTCTGTTACGCCCCCCCACTCCCCACCGTGACTATCCATCTCTGCATAACATTTTATCCTTATTAACATTAAAGAAAAGAAAAAAAGAAAGACATATGGTCAAACTTACAAAGAATAACTTTATTAAATCGTGTTTTAAGTCTGCAACAGAAAAGATTTTAAGTGCACCAATGCCTGAAGTTAAAAATAAATAAATCCTTGTTTGACCAACTAATTGCACCATTGCAAAATTAAATAAAATCAATAATATTTAATAATTATAGTAACTAATAAACTACAAAAACAACAAAAATAATAACTAATTTATATTCAGTTATGCAACATTAACTCAGGAGCACAGTATATAAAACATTTAGCTTTCGGGAGACTTCCTTTTGTCGCGTTATCTTTGTCTCTTCCCTGTTAAAAACTTTTTCATGTTGGGGGTTGTTATGTTGAATAACGGAAGCTATAGACAGAAGTCTAACCTGTTGTCTTTAAGTCGTAAAATGTTGCACCGAAGTAAAGATGAGAGCGCCACTGCCCCCTACTGGAGTGGATGCGCAATTACACTTTAAACTAGTACGGCCCAAAAAAAAAGGCTGTTCCCCAGGTATCACCCCTCTATTTGAGAAGCACTCCTCTAACCACAACAGACCCTCGTATAATCGGCCCCTGACGGAAACCCGGACTCTCTATTTATTTATTTATTCATTTATTTTTGCTCATTCTCATGTCTCCGAGGGCTTAAAATGAAACAACAGTCCGTGAGTTGCCCCTCAAACTCTGTCCCCCCTCTTCCATAACCGGATAGTCTGGATAATCGAATAAAAGCGTGAGCCTGACTGGTTAAGAGCAGCTAAGAGGAGCCACTAAAAGCTGAGAAAAGCTGGAGAGCCACTGCGAGAGTCGGTGGGAAAGTTAGTTTTTTTTGTTTTTTTGTTGTTTTTCTTTTAATCGGCAACAACAAAGGAGCGTCGTACAGAAAAAAGATAACATCCTAGTTTGGTTATGTCTATATTAGGGGTCGTAGGCTTGTTTTGGGGGGTTCTGGGAGCTACTGGGGATGAAGCTGAAGCAGCTTTCCCGCCGAAGAGTTCAGGTTTCTGGCCTGTTTCACCAAGTGTTTGTCACTGGGAGAGAATCAGCAAGTCGACAAACGATGAGAAAAAACAAAACAAATAAAATAATAAACGAAAAAACGAACGTGGGTGAGAGGAAGGGGAAAAAAACATGACATGACAGTGAGACGTCTGAGCAGGTCAAAGCAGCCGTTAAAGCAAATTTAACCCTTTTTTTTTTACCCCCCGAAATAAAATTAAATAAAAAAAACAGCGCATAAGAAATTAAATCACCTGGTCTCCAGTTGTTTTATGGTCCCTGACATCTGGTTGATTTTCTCCTCCAATCGGACGATGGCGTCGCTTTTCTGTTTGGAGCTGGCGTCCGCGCTCTGGGGAAAAGGGAGAGA